TGATTTTTTTAACATTTTGATGTAGCCATAATCGAATTATAAATTATTTGAATGATTCAAACCTAAATACTATGTCTCTAATAGATAATGATGATATTAAATAATTTTTTTAAGTGTAAATGAATTTTAAACTAATTGTTTTTTTCGTACAAATAGAAGATTCTCTAAAATGGAGTTAGACAATTTACTAATTAGAACGTCGATATGTATATATGAAAAATATATCAAAAGTGCATGTGGGTACTCAAATGAAAGCTCTTAATGAGTGTAACATCAGAATGAGCTTATTTCTTTAAAAATGTTAATATTTAAGAAAGTACAGTGCAATTCAACAAAAGTCATTATTTAATAAATTAAATAATTGTCTTCAAATAAATTGAATTATTAATAGTTATTAAATCTTTCTATCAGTGTAGAAAAAAATTTCAGATAGTGATTAGTATTGTCCAGATGTCACAGAGTATAATCTGGGATAATATCTATTGTAATCTTGTTCTTTCTGTGTATTATTATTAATAAAAACATACTTTTTTTAAAAAAAAAAACAAAAAAAAAAAAAAAAAAAGCACTCATTACCTCAACCTCAGTCACTGCGTGGACGTACATATTTTTATTCCCATCCTCACGGACAATCTTGCTCTGCATGGTCTTGGACCTGGGGTCGTCATCATCCAGCAAATCATACACGCTGTTATTATAAATTTCAACGTAAGTAATAAACACTGCGTAAGCATTATCCGGATCAACATTTAACAACTGGGACTCGTCCGGCTCCCGAGTAATCATCGGGTTGCTGTCGCTGTCGCTGTCTTGGCGCCTGAATTTCCCGTTAGTCTTCCTGGGGGTGGTCAGCCCGGCGTGGATCTCCCCCTGGCGGTCCAGCATCGCGTCAGTCTCGCTCTGGACATCAAACCCGTTCAACTTGTCCGGTTTGAAAACAAACTTCTTGGCCTGATAGTTGGAGATGCTGTTGAAGATGACGTCCAGACACCTGGGCATTATTCCTCCGTCCTGCGGCTCGCCTGTCATCGTGTAGGTCTTGCCGCTGCCTGTCACGCCGTAGGTAAACAAAAGAGCGTTCTTACCGTGGATTAAATTTTCCACCAGCGGCAGAGCCACGTTGTTGAAGATGTCCCGCTGCTTTGTGTCTGGAGTGAATACTTTTGTGAAGGTCGTTTGGATTTCCTTGGAGTTGGCGTTCCGAAAATTAACAGCTGACTCTGGGGGAGTTATTACTATCGTCCGGTCGGAGATTATCTTCATGCAAGACACGTCAGAGGAATTTTGCATCGGACGGATACGGCAGTACACTTGCACCGGGTCCTTGGAGGTGCTGGTTTGCATTCTGGGACGGGTGGGTTTTTTTGCCGACACCGGCGGCTTTATTCGTCTAAAATTATTGATATAAATAAAATTATTTGTTTTATTTTAAGACAATTATTTTAGTTAAAAGTTCAACTGTCATTTAATATAACCTAAATTTAAAAAAAAAAAAATAATTTATAAATACTTACGAAGATTTCATTTTGTTAAAATTATTTTTTTTTTTTTTTTTTTAGTGGAAAACTTTTTTACACTGGGTTATTTATTCACTTATTTTTAATAATAATATTTAATTGATTTTAATTATTATCTATATTCTTAATTCTTAACAAGACATTTGTTTACCGACTAGCGACGGTTAACAAGCGTCGGGTGTTTGAATTTATTCCAACGTTCAAAAGAGCCAAATGCTAGCTCTCTCAACAATAATTAAGGCTGATTTACATGGTTGCGCGCGAACAGACACTATACTCAAAAATTTAATATATAATATAAATTTATTTAAATAATAAAATGTATGATTAAAAAGTTCTAATTTATTAATTACTGACACATTTTAAGGTATTTAACAATTTTTAATAATATTACAAACAGAATACTTAAAAAACAATTTATTTATTATTATAAAAATAATTAATTTATAAAATTTAAATTAATTTATAAAAAATTTGACCTGTAAAAATAAAGAATAAAATTTTTAATGACATTTAATTTAGCTGTCACTTGACAGTTTATTTAATTTTCATAGAAAAAATGAACTTGTAAAAATTTAATAAAATTAAAAATGTTAATTTTTTTAAAATTATTTTATTGTTAAAGAAAATTAAAAAATTGCCAAGTGACAGCTAAATTAAATGTCATAATTTTTAATAAAAAGTGATTAAATTCTGTTTGTAATAAATAAAAAATATTAAAGAAACTTATTCTAAAAATAAAAACTCTACTGTAAGATTTTACTGTACAACTTTAATAGTGCAAAAATATTTACAATAAAAACAAACTAAAATCTCTTAGACTGGATATCATCATCGAAATGAGACCCGTCGCAGAAGGGCCTGTTGGAAGTCTGCTTACAATTACACAGCCAGTACTCTTTACTTTCTTTAACTTCGAACAAAATGGGCCTCAATTTTATTTTAAGGAAAATATTCTTGTGAGTGCCGTCGCAGATGGGCTGACTCTTGCTGTGCCCGCAGAGACACCAGGCGTACCTTTTCCCGGCCTCGAGCCTCATTTTGAAGGGCTTTTTGTCGTAGGGTTTGCCGTTTTCCTTCTGATTCTGGGCGCTGAACAATCCTTGCAATTCATTTCGTGGAATTTCCGGCTCTGGGTCTTTGGAATCTTGTTTTGTCGCGTACCGGGTTAGTCTAGTCTGTAAATTTACAATTTTTTTTAACAAATTTTAATTAAAAAACTCGCACTTGTAATTTTTTAATTAAAGAATATAAATAATTAATTCTTACCAAACACCAGCTTGGATTGACTCTCAAGCTTGACACTTTATTTATTAAGTTAATAATACTCATTATTGTTGTGTTTAATATATTTATATACCACTCAGCATAACACTATAACACTGTTAACCATTCAGAGACTTTTTAAGGTTATAAAAAAATTTCTATCTTATCAGCTGAGAGAGATTCAATTTAAAAATTTAAAAATACACTTTTATTTTTATATCAACTATTTATTTTTAATTATTCTGATAAATAAATTACATCATATTTTTTAATAATAAAATATATTTCTTGTATTATAATTAATTTCTCGAAAAAAAAATTATTTTTTAATGACACTGAAGTTAATTAAATTATAATTTTACAATAATAAAATGATTAAAAAAAAATCTAATTGAACAATTAGATTTTTTTAATTGTAATTAATAATTATTAAAAAAATTTTAAAGAATTGACAGTAGTTATCAGCTGATTTTAGTATCATATTTTTCTAAAACATATATAATAATAAAATTAAAAAAAATTTTATGAGTAAAAATATCAAAGCTTTTAAAAAAAAAACATTAAAATTAATTACCCCATCAATTTTATCAATTTTATCTCAACAATTTACATAAACTAATTTCAAGGTTATTATATAGCCATTATTATAACAGCAGTTAAATTATTATAGTTGACATGCGCGCTAGATCATAAAACTTGCTTCCTTAAAACACTCATAAAAATCACTTAAACAAGTCACAATTTCACAAAATAATTACAACTAAACATTATAAAAAAAATTCTAAAACATTCTTTATAATAAAACAAAAAATCTAAAATTAAAAACAATTAATCCGTTATAAATCCCGTTAAGTGCTGCAAAACTCCAATGTAAATAATGAAATACCTGTCAAAATTATCAACATGCTGCAGAAAAGCAAACAACAACGGCTTCCTGATCGGAATGATCCTAGGATTGATAATAAGCCTGCTGTTCTACCAAATGTCAAGCATCAGCAACCTAGACACCTCCAGCTCAGAAAGTAAGGCCCCCTGGTCATACCTGTCACTGTCGCACGAGAACTCAAACACCGACTACGAGCTAACTAATCAGATAAACCGAGTGTCTTCTTCCGACCAGGTAGACGAGTACGCTCCCAAATTAAAGAACCCTTCATCATTGCACATCCAGGATTCAAAGCAGCCGTGGAGGTTCACGCGACCCAGGTACTACTTTACTGAACTAGGAATCCGAGAGAAGCTTTTTCTAGGAGTTCTGACCGACCCAGAGCACCTCCACAGCCGCGGAGTAACTTTTAATAAAACCGTCGGGCAGTTTATTGAGAAAATCAGGTACTTTATCACGATTAGCGGCTCTGAAAATGGCAACAAGAAGCCCAATGTCTCTTTATCGGGGATTGTTGGGTTCACTGACACCAGAAAGATCCTCAAACCTTTCCACGTGGTTAAATATATTATTGACAATTATTTAGAAGAGTATGATTACTATTATATTGTTAAAGACACTTCTTATGTCAATGCTAGGCAGCTGATGAATCTCGTAGAGAGTTTTAGTGTTGGAATTAATAAAGATATTTACCTGGGTGTTCCAATTTCGGAGAAGACTCTTGAAAGTTCTAATTACATCAGCGACAATTTGATTAATTTCTGTTCTTTAGATGCTGGGATTATTATCAGCAATTCAATTATGAGACAGCTGAAAAAGAACTTGGACTGGTGTGTTAAGAATACTTTTTTGTACTCTAGTTCTGATGATGATGTTAATTTTGGACGGTGTCTTTATTATACTACCAAGACACCTTGCAACAATAAACTCTTTAGGAGCAATCAGGTTTTTTTGTCCAAGAAAATTCCAGCTGAAATTAATCTGACCAACTTGACTTCTTATTTTTTGGATGATTTGGTGTCTGTCTATCCAATCTTGGACCCCAAGGTTATTTATAAATTACACGCTTATGCAGCAGCTAGAGAATTGAAGCGGATTGAAGATGAAATTATTAAATTAAGGAATGAAATTTCTAGCTCGGCTCACTTGAGTCCGACTAATAAGACAACCTCATCCTGGCCAGTGGGAATCAGTCCTGGGAATAAAGCTCCAGGAAGGTTTGATATCCTCCGCTGGAATTTTTTTAATGAAACTCATATATTTATGGAGACAGACTTTGATAATGTGACTCCGCTGGTGGGCAGCAAAAAACTGGAGGTTGATTTTATACTGAAGACTGCTAAAAAGTTGATAAAGGAGAAGTATGATGGGAAATTTAAGTATGAGAAATTAGTGAATGGGTATATGAAGTTTGACGCTTCAAGAGGCATGGATTATATTTTAGACTTGAGGTTTGAGGATGGAAATAATAAAGTTGTGAAAAGGGTTGAGCTGTGCAAACCTTTGGGGAAAGTTGAGCTACTCCCGGTGCCTTATGTCACTGAAAATACTAGGGTTAATTTGATTTTGATTGTTGATAAGGATAATGTTGAAGAAGCTATCAAGTTTATGGAAAATTATGGGGCTGTTTGTATGGAGAAGAGAGACAAGACTACGCTTATGTTGGTAATATGTTATTTAATTAATTTTTTTATGATATTAAATGCTTTATCTCTAGATACATAATTAAAAAATGACCTTTTCTCATGAACTATTGACATTTTTAAAGATATATAAGTTCATCTTGATGTTACACTTAGTAAAAGCTTTCATTTGAGTACCCACATCAATTTTTCATATATTTATATATATTATATACATGGATATCTATACAATATATATTTACCTTTGCAAAGGTAAAAGGGCGCATATTTTTTTTTTTTTTTTTTTTTTTTTTTTTTTTTTTTTTTTTTTTTTTATTGCCAATCGAATAGTAGACACATTCTGAGCTTAAAATTGAAAAAAAAAAATTAGAAAAACGGTTGACCCTGAAGGCCATCCCTGCAACTTCCCGTTAATTCCATACCAAGGAGCTTAAAATTGGACTTATGATGTTTTCGAGCTCAAAAATGCAATTTATGTGCATTAAAAGTAATTAATAATGCAAGATTTTATTTTTAGTTCCTAAGTACGCAAGGTTGCCAATAAAATTATTAAAAAACATCATAAAAATTTTATTAATCACAAAAATTTATTGAAAAATAAATTAAAAAAAAAATTTACAAAATTTTTTTAGGTATTTTTATACACTGATTCAACAAAAGTGAATGACATTTACGCCAAGGTGAAGACTCAGGTGGTAAATCTGACGGAAAAATACAATAAAAGCAAGGATTTATCAAAAATAATTTGGCTATCAATCCAACTGCCTGAAGTTGAAGATCCAAGAGTGAACATTGCAATCACTGATTTAATCATAAAGAAATTTTCACCTGAAAGTCTTATTTTATTCGTTCAAACTCAAATGGAATTGACTACAGATTATTTAAACAGAGTGAGTAATAAAAGATTTCTTTATTAAATTAATTAAAAATAATATTATAAATAATTAATTTGCAGATACGAATGAATACAATCAACCAATGGCAAGTATTCAGTCCAATTCCTTTCGTAGAGTACAATCCAAACTTGTACCAGACTGACCAGAAGAGCAACTTCGACTTGAACCACAATCACGGTTATTACGATAAATTAAACTACCAAAGTATTTCATTTTACGTAAAAGACTACCGGTCAGCGCGTCGAGCCAGTGAAAAAATATTCCCGGTGATTCACAGCGACCGGGAAATAAAACAACTGCCAACATCGACATCGTCTGGAAAAGACCTAAACTCGGTGTTTAAATTGTTCGTTTTGTTCAGCGACTTGCATGTCTTTCGCGCAATAGAGCCTGCGTTGAAACTCCGCTACAGTGACAAAAATAATTGCAAAAGCTTGCTTGGACACCGCGGACAACTCGCGAGACTGATTGACGAGTACCAAAAACAAGTCAGATAAATTTTTTATTTGGCAAGATTTTTTTAATTATATTAATGCTTTATTGTATTATTATTATTATTATTATTATTATTATAAACACCCCAATACCTTATCAACACACAGTCCTGCTGGACATTAATATATTTATATATAAAAGAAATAATTGTACAAGCATTTTAAAAATTCATGTCGCAGTCCCCTGATAAGTAAATAAAAATATATTTATTTAGGTAATTAAACGGTTTAATATCGCATTAGAGTTATTTTTATTTATATACTTCAATCGCTGTCTGATTCCGATTCGGACAGTTGGAGATCTTCCTTCAATAAATTATCGTGGATATTTGTCGTTGATAACGGTGGTGATGTAATGCCTTTTGTTCCATTAGTGTGTCCTAGAATTTTAATTTTAATTATCAATAACAATAATTAATTTTTTATCTAAATCTATATTATTAAGAAATGACCTTGTATCTTGTGAACTATTGACATTTTTAAAGATATAAGCTCATCTCGATGTTATACTCATCGAGAGCTTTCATTTGAGTACCCACATCAATTTTTCATATATTTTATATATTTATATAAAATATATCAAAAATGCATGTGGGTATTCAAATGAAAGCTCTTGATAATTGTAACATCGGGATGAGCTTATTTCTTTAAAAATGTCAATATTTAAGAAAATACAGAGCAATTTAACAAAATAAAATTTTAGTAGGATAAATAATTACCATTTGTACTAGCAAGAACAGGACTGGTAACAGGTTCCATATCTGAATCACTATCAGAGCTATCAGAACTGGATCCACTGCTTGAGCTGCTATCACTGAGCACGCCGATTTGATCATCCAAGTTGATCGGTAGCTCCATTGGATTCGGAGTAACTACAGTAGTAGGAACGGATACAGGCTTTGGAGGTTGTGCTGGTACTTGGAAGTCTTCAGGATCCGAAGGATTATCACTGTCGTCTAAGCCACCAATAACTGGAAGGCCGGTCAGCGATGGCAATGCACCGTGATTTGAACTAATGGCTCTTGCGGGAGAACTGGATAAATTTTAAAATTTATTAATGATTTAATTAAAAAATATTATTATTAATTAATTAATTTAAAAAAAAAAAAAAATCAAACCTTATATTATTAGAAAATGACGGTCCGTTAGAAGGACTCTTTCCGTGGTAGGGAGATTTACGCAAAGGACTAGCTGCAGGCTTGGGATGATACTGAACATGAGGTTCTCTCTTGGTGCCACTGGTAACTTTGGTCCTGCTACTTGACCTTCCGTGACCGGCATTCATTGCCGGATTATTCGTCGAGGTACTTTGATTGCTAGGCTTTGATTTGGACTCTATTGGAGTATTGGGACGATTCAGCGAATTGGAAGCCGTCGAGGTTAGTGTCGGGCCAGCCGACAGAGACTGGGCTCTGTGGTCTACCCTGGTCTTCTTCACCTGGATATTCGAGGACAATTTTTCTAGGGTTATTTCGCCGGTTTTTCGATCGAATATCAGGACACACTCCTTGCTGTAGGGCCGCTGCGAGCCCTTGAACACTGTGTGAGGGAGTCCCGCACCGTCCAGGTGAGGAACTGTTACTGTCATCATATTGTTTGGACCCACTTCTACTGTTGCCATTTTTGAGACATCGACACTTGCTGGCTTGAAGTCATCTGGACATTTATTTAATTATTTAAAAAATAATTTTTTTGATAAATAAAATTAAAAAATTGTCAAGTGACTTAACTTTAATGTCATAAATATATTACTTACATTTGATAGTGTGGAAGGATGTTTTGTCACCATTACTGCCAGAATTATTATTGAAAGAGGATCCAAATTTAAGCTCTCTAATTTCAGGGCCCAGGCCCAAGCGTTTTGCCATTTTATTAAATAAATTATTTTATTAATTAAATTAATGAAAATATAATTATTCTCAGGTTACATTACTCAGTATTTTCAAAATTTCCAAAAAATTCCTGAAAAAAAAAAAAAAAAGTTAAATTAGAATATTAAAAAACTAAAATAAAATGAAAATTAGGTTAGCCGACATTTAAAAATTTTTAGATTTTTTTTTATTGAAAATAATTATTGCAATAATAAAAAAAATTATTGGAGATAAGTGGAATTTAAAAAAAATATTTTTTTATAATTTAATAAATGAAAAGAAATAAAAAAAATAAAAAAACGTGGACTAACTTTAGTATTAATATTTAAAAATACCTTGGTGAATATAAAAACAGATGGAATGGTTATTTTGAGAGCTCGAAAAACCAAAATATGGCAGTCATTTTGGTAAATTAACACACACAAATGGTAACAGCTGTTACTCTAACCAAATATCAACTTTACGTTTATCTTTCACCTGACTAGATCTAGGTTATCTTGGTTGAATTTCACAAAGATAACCTCCAAGAGTTTTAATTTAAAATCTTCGCTATTTATATTAATTAATAATTATATTTTAAAAGATTTTAATACTGCTCTTTCTTATTTTATTCACACACACTGACACACGATAGACGTGAGATAACAGAGATTGTCGGAGTAAACTGTTCAATGGTTAGGTACTTGAGAAAAATGTTGCCACACATGTGTAAGACGATACAACAACCAACTACAATTAACACGCGCGCAAATTTAAAGTACATAAAATTTATGTCGGCATTTTACTTTGTCGGTAAGTTAGAAATTAATTTTTTTTTGGTTAGATTTTTTTCGACACTATTGACAGGCATTAAAATTTTTATAACAATTAGATTGTTACAAATAAAATTTAATTAAAAAATTGCACTTGTGAAAATTAATAAAAATTACATGTGATAATTTTTAGAAGCATTTTATTGTTATTAATTTATTAAAAAAATTTTTTTAATTGACAGCTGACGGCTAACTTCAGTATTATGATTGTTTTTTTAATAATAATTGACAACAATGGTGAGTTTTTTTTTTAATTAATTTTTTAAAATAAAATAATTTTAATTTAAAAAAATCAATTGGTCAATTTTGAGACTTCAAAATGGCGCTGTCAAAAAAATGGAATTAAAATTATGAAAATGAAGTTATAGCTGACATTTCAAAATTTTTTTTATTAAAAAAAGATAAAAAAAAAGTTTTCACTTGTGAAATACTTTAAAAATTGTCAGTGCAATTTTTTAAAAATAATTATTTTGTTAAATAAAATAAAAAAATTGTGAAGTGACTGCTAACTTTAAATAAAATTATTATATTATAATTATTTTTTTTTTTTTAGTTTAAAAAAATCAGTTGGTGATTTTTAAAAATTCAAAATGGCGCTGTTAAAAAAATGGAAGTAAAATTAATAGACGGGAGCTTTATTATCGATGAATATTTTTATTGAATAGACAATAATCATCCTAGATGATGCGAAGATCCATGGTTATGATTTGTTGGATTTATCTGTAAATAATTGAAGAAAAATTAAATCATCAAGTAAGTGAATTTATTTTTAAATAATTAAATGTTTAAGTGGTCAAAAAAAGTGAATTCGGGGAAAATATAAAAGCTATCAACAATTATGGGTGCGTGAGGCAGTGATATATGTCAGAGTAGATTAATAAGTTAATTTAGATTGAGTTTGGTGTCTGGCTGTTGTCTCGACAGTTGATTGCTGGCCATCAGAAATATTGTCGGTGTCGGGTGCGTTCTTCCCAGAATGAGAGCTAAGCCAGACAATATTAATTTTAGTTTTAACAATTTTGGGTGTGACCTTGCTGGGTTTTATTTGCCAGAGTAGAAATAAAAATAAAAAATATATGTAATGCGAAGAAAGATTAGAAGCGACTGAGAATTAATCGAAAGGAAGCGGTAGATCATTATGGAGTTTAAAAAAATTTGTATGGCTTCCTCAGGCAGCCCCATAAGGCCGTCCCCCTTGTGCGTATGCATTTTTTCCTATACGCACATGTGCGATGCAGCCTTATGATGTGAAATTGTCTGTCGGGGGCATCAGGTAACATGTCAACCCTAAAGACCACACACGCACTTTATATTTAATAATTATTATTATTATTAAAAATAATAAAATTTTCAATTTATTTTTTATTTTAAACAACTAAATAATAACAATAAAAATGAAATTTTATTATTATTATTTAATTGTTTAAAATTTTTAATAATAATTAAAGACTTTCTAATTTTTTTTAATTTTAATAAATTTGTTTTAAAAAATTGCATTTAAAATTTTTTAAAACTTCTAAGTTAATTTATTTTTTCTAATTTAATTAAAAAAAAAAAAAAATTAAATATCTTCTAATTTAATTTTTACTATTAACAATAATTTTGGACTTTTAATTAAAAATAAATTTTATAAAATAATAATAAAATTCAATTTAGTTTAGAGCACTTAGATTTATTTATAAAGACTAAAAACTAAGTTACAATATTTTACGATACATTAATTAATAATATTAAACCGCGATATTATTATTAAAAAAAGATATTTTATTTATTTATATTCTAGCAATTATATAATCGCGCTTTATTCACACACATACACACATAAATCATAATTTAATGCACACGCTTATGAATAATCAATAATAATTATTAAATGCGAAAATATTCTATAACTTTATTACTGTTATTATTAATATTATGGACGTATTAATTTATAAAAATCGTTCCCGCGTCTCAGTTTAAAATTACAGACAATCTTATATTATATACATACAATTTTATGATTCAGACACTTGTATAATTAATAATAATAAAAAAAAATAATGTTTGATAGTTTGAATTGAGGTCATGCTCTCATATAATCTATCAGGACTCTTTGAATAATATCATGTATTTATTTATTAATATTGATGCAATTATTAATCATATATTTTTTTATCTATTTAATAGTTTACAATTGCTGCAACATTGTAGTCTGCAACTATTAGCGTTTATTGATATTTATCGGCAATCACTTTATCGAGAGACGTTTTTCCAGAGACGCTATCGCGATTTATTAAAAAGTATTTTACCAATTAGTGATGTAAGTATGTAATGTGTTGTTTATTTTTTAAAATTCGTTCCATTCACTTTGAATGCAGTTGAGGTAGATTATATATAGATATATATATATATAATTAAATATATATATATATATAATATATAATATTACAAAAATTTAAAGGTATATTATATACGGATAAAAAAAAATAACACACACGTGCGAGTTGCGTATACAATTATTAAAATATTATTAATTATAATAGTGTAAAAATTATAAATGTATATTATATATCAAAAAATGTATTTGTTCAGTCTAAGTATTTTGTTAAAAAATTTTTTTATCGTTTAGGTCGTAAATTTTTTGAAGTAAATTCACTAGATTTTTAAAAAGAATGAATTTAATTCAAGAATTTTTCTCTTGAATTAAATCTTCAATCACATATACTTACAAAAAGCGTAAAAAATTGCTAATAGATAATTAAAATTTAACAAAAATAATTTTATGAGCATCCGCAGCGCTCGACGACCATACCAGGCAGACGAGAAAATACAATTTGATATTCATTATCAAAATATAACATCGTAATTTCGGATAATTTTCTCGGTGCGCAACAAGGCCCGGTATTATTCGGCGGCTCCGCTAAGCTCACGATATGTGTATTCGGATACGCTGGAAGGAAGGCCATCGGACAGTCGCCTGAGCAGTAATTTGCGTCGTACCTGTTGTGAAATAAACAACAAACAATTTTAAATAAAAAAGACGCCGTTCGGCCATACCCGGACAAATGGAAGGTAGATTTCATAGAATGAATTATCAATAACTTTCGTGAAAATGGTTCAATTTAACTCTTAACTTCGATAAAATAACTAATAATGGTCAAAATGTCAATGTTATATACGTCAAATTAAAGGAAATTTCATGAGCTTTTACATAAATTCATCAAAAATAGCCATCTCTTTTAAATCAAAAGTTATACATCAATAAAGTCACCGAAAACGTGATTTTCACTATTTTGATAATTTTGAAGAGCTGCCATTTCTAAACTTATGAATAGATTTCGCTCATCTTCGAACTCATTCAAGGTTATTATCCAAAGAATATGTGTAGCAAATTTCATGTAGATCCATCGAGAACTGTAGACACAATTGCAGCAACATCCCGCGTTATATTACATATCAACGTTCTAATTAGCAAATTGTCTAACTCTATTTTAGAGAATCTTCCATTTGTATAAAAAAAAAAAAAACAATTGATTCAAAATTTAATATCACTTTAAATAACCATTAGATATCATTATTATCTAATAGAGATATAATATTTTGGTTTAAATCATTCAAATAATTTATAATTGAACTATTGCCATATCAAAATATTAAAAAATAAGGAATTAGATAAATTGCTAATTAGACCGTCGATAAGTATATAAATTTTTTAACTAACGTTATTTTTGAGCTTTACTCGACTAGTTAAGTGATATTACGACAAAATTCCGACATGAGGACCAATGCAAAAGATTGATTTCTATGAAATTTACCTAAAAATGTTAATCTAAAAATAAGACAACCTTGAACTTACTTTTTCGGAGCGATAATCCAATCCCAGCCGAACTTCTCAAAGTCAACTGTGAGTTTGTACCGGCAGCACCTGGTTTCTTGGCTAGCTTCATCACAATTCAAACCGACGTTCCTCTTGACCCTGGAGCCGCGTTTGGACTCTGGTTCTTGCATCTGGATCTCGAGATACGGGGCGAACTCCGCCTCGGGATTAGTTTCGACGTTCCAAACCGAGTCTGGCCTGGTATCGGTTCCAGTGACGTTGCTAGCAGCTTCTTGGTCGTCATTTATCTTCAGAACGACGCCCAGGTTGTTCCTGGGGTGCCTGAACCACTCGGTGACCATCCGGGCCAGCTCTATGGTTACCCAAAAGCCTGACTCTTCACCCGGGTGACGGGTTACCAGGTGCTTGGTGATCAGCGGCGGGCCCAGAGACAATTCTTGAGGGTTGTCGGAGTCTTTTAAAGGGAGGATTCTCTGGAGGGTTATCGAGAGCACGTCCTTGTGCTCGTGCTGGTGATAATGTCGCTGGTAGTGGTGATGATTTTGGTGGTGATGGTGATGATGATTGTAATTGTAATAATGGCTCTTGCTTTCTTCTTTGTCTTTATCTTCTGGGTCTTTTTTATCTGCCTCTGTTTTGGGCTTGCTTTCCCAAATCCAGAGCGAGAGTTTAGCTCTTGTCACCCGGTGCTGCATTATTTTATCAGAAAATTTAAAGTACAGTATATTTAAATAATCTTGCTCGGTGTGTCTCAACCTAGAACCTGTAACATTTAATTTTAATTGTTCCATGAGCTACTTTTTAATTATTTACCGAATTTCTTTTAATTAAATTGAGAATTCGCGAGGTTATCAATATTGCGTACTGTGCGATAAAAAAAAATACTTGAATAATGATATATTGTATATTGTAATAAAATTATAAAAACGATTTTTTTAAGTACCTACTACTTGGAGTAAGCTCGTCATGACAGCGATAACCTTATTTATAAATAGCAAAAAAAAGTATTACGTTTTAAAATCTTTAAGATAATTCAATCATTCTTGTGTTTTTATTTTTTTTTTTTTGAATGACGATATTTAAATTTGAAATTAAGAATATTAATATTAATAATAATAGTAATAACAATAAAGAGTTAATGTAATGAAATAAAAAGGCCCGGATAATTTAATGGCAGATAATAACCGAAAATTACGGCTGGGATCGATTTAAAATTATCCAATTTGCGTGTAGGGACAATTGGATATAAAAGGGTGTATCGCATTAGTGTGTGTTGTGTGTGTAATATGTCGATACGTGTAATTTAAAATTATACGACATAGAAGTCGTTGCGCGGATACGGAGATTACGATTAAACGTGTAGAGTGTTGTTTGCCATGAAGGGTAAAAACGATGCGTGCGCGTTTTATTTGGCTAATGTTACTTCAGCTATATAAATCCCCGCATGGTACACCGTTATACTCTTTACTAGTATGTAGTCACAGTCCCGGTTTTTTAAAACAAAATCAAATAAACTATCTCTACCTTATTCCTTATTTTTTACCAACAAGACCTACTGGTTGTAAAAATAAATTCAGTTAACAAAACGGTAAATCATTTTATGTACATTCAATATTCTTCTTTTTTTACAACAAAAAAATGTTCTATTAAATTAGATTTATGATTAAAAGCTTCTAAATTGATCATATAACTCAAAAATTTTGAAAAAAAATCATATCCCTTGCCTTCAATTAATTTGTAATAGTCTAGTTGCATAAGTATTTTTTAACAGGGCGGATCAAGCAGGGTTCGAGTCCGGTCTAGGGTATATTAAATACAATTTTCAATTTTTTTTTTTTTTTTTTTTTAACTTCTCAAATCTCTAATAATGTTTAAAAAAAATAAATTTTTAATAAAATAAATTTTAAATTAAATTTGTTACATCCAGAATAAAATAACCGAGTGCAGGTGTGTCTGTGTGTTACATAAATCCACACGTGGTCACATAAATACATGAACACATATATGTATCTATTATATCATATCATATCAAGTATTAGCAGTCTGTTTAGCGTCTAGACAGACCGGTGGATACATTAATTATAATTTGGGGAATCCTCGACAATGCCCCCAGCGTATAAAGAAAAAAAGGTATTTTATTACCTACATACAATTGCTAATTGGTTTATAAAATAGTGTGATTAAGACTATACTAGGGTAGGTCTTAGAGGTAATGATGCCATGACGGGTGTGACTTGTAGTACTGACCTAGGTCATGTGCACCGCTGCTGGCCATGACCTTCATGTCTCCTACACATACACACACATATGTATTTATATATTTCAACATATTAGGGCACACATGCCGAGCCGGTTGATTCTTCTTACATCTTACTTACTGTCCTTGTCTTAACATTAATTTATGTTTATTACTCCTTGGGAAGAAATGAAGAAATGACGTCAGTTTTTTAACGGACATGTGGGAGTCTCTTATCTTAATAAATAAACCAACTAAATAAATAATTAACTTACGTGGATGAGCAAGCGCAAAGACACTCTCGGTTTTCGCGGTGAATTCGTCAACCTCGTCGTAGTAGTGCTTTGTCCCAGGTAGGCTCTGCTCCCTCAAGACGACAGGCTCGTCGGCTTGCATCCCGTACAAATCCATCAGCTTTGAAATGGGGGGTATTTTGGGTAATGCGCGTCCCGTCATATTTGGCGCCTGCTTAAGTCCCAGTTTGTTAAGAATTTGTTCCTTAATAGCTTCTAAATTTAACGCTCTTATTTCTTCGTGCATTTTACACGTATTACAACCCCCATTATTATTATTATTATTATTATTATTATTATTATTATTATTATTATTATTATTATTATTGCTATTATTACTATTATAATTTCTTCTTGTACTAGTTGTCGTAGATGATACAGCCATTATAATAAACGGTGCGTTTTTAATCGCCAGTGGCGTTAAGTCGAATGCTCCGAAAATTATAAGCAACGAGGTAATAATTATTTTTTTATACATTTTACTATTTATTATTAAATAAATAAATATTATATTTATATTGTCGATAAACCTCGTCTGCGTCTTCGTCCTCGTGTTATTAAAAATGATGATATTCGCATCATCAGTTATTATTATAAAAGCGCCACAGGGCGCTACTTAATTTTGTTTCTTCAATTATTAATTTACACTTATCCATTTTTGGAGTTCATATTTTTAAAACAATTACTAATAATACAATAATTTATTTATCTAAATGATATTTATTTCTTCAGTGTTTGTCATCTTTAAATTCACAATTAACACTCACAAATATTCTTCACAAAACTTGCGGGTTGTTTGATCGATAAACAATAAAGATTGAGAAGAAAACCGAATTGTTTTAAATGATTGAAAATAATTTTTGAATACTTTTGAGAAGAAATACTTTTTTAATAAAAAAATTAAATAAATTTTTAGGCGCGATATAGAGTTTGCAGAAAAGTTGGAAACAACCTGCGTGTACGTGAGCGGCTGAGTGGCACACACGTTATGTGATGTGTAGTGAATCCGCACGGGTACTCGTCTGCTCTGATATATATATTATAGTTGTGTTGTCGTGGTGTAGATCGTCGTCGTCAACGTAGACGGTCTCAGTTTGCGGGTGTAGTGGTTGATGGTTGCTAAACGAATGACCAAGACAACCTCTCTGTATATATTTATATCTATATGTGTGTATAATGCGTGCAAACTAGTAGAGAACATAATATGTGAATAAAAAAATTGCAAAGAGAATGCGAAAGATGAGAAAAGGAGAAAGAGTTAGCATGCGCGCGCTACTCACGAGACCTGCCAAATAAAAATTAATCCGCGAAAAGTTGATCGGCACGCGATACCTTGCGACCCTTCCCAAATATTTTTTTTTTTTTTTCTTATTAGTTTTACCTTTTTTTATCTTCCCAACACTATTGATTACGTGGCGATTTTATTTTTACTTTATCCCCACTAAAAATAACTATTTTATTTTAATTATAAATATATTTTTAAACTCTTATTATTTATTTCTGTCATTTGATATCATCATTATATAAAATATATATATATATATATATA